TTATAAAGACACTTGCACACGAGTAACAAGTGTGTATTCCTTATTTATTTGTTTTTTCGCATAATTATTTAAAATGATATTATGTGAAAAAATTTAAACTTTCAGGTCTTACATGTTATGTATAGGTAGTATAACAGATGAATATTTTTTTGTGTTCAAGTATGATATCTGTAGGTCTATTATCAAATGAGATATTCAACAAGTATAATTAAAATGATATGTTTCTTGGAAGAAAAAATAGTTTGTGTCTATCTATGGTATGTTACTTATCATATTTAAAAATAAATAAATAAATAAATAAATGTATAAAAATATAATTTATAGCGCGAAATAGCGATTAATAAGTTTAAAATTAAGTATTTTAAGGTTTTATAAAATTTTTAAATTGCTCTCCTGAAATGTTGACTTTTTTCACTTGGCTCTCATCCACTGATTTAATTATATTGTAATCTGTGAAAATAATATAATAAAAGTTTTAATTTTACATTTCTGATATTATTTGCTTCCACTAAACAGAACTTAAAATTGTGTCATCGCTTTCATTTCCAATTTGTAACCACCATTGTTGATCTCTGATTTTTTTTAAATGCATTTTTCCAAAGAAAAATATTTCCCACTGTATAATAATAACAGCATGAAAACCAATTTCACTGGAACTATTTCGTCTTAAAAGCTGAAAATAATCTATCATGCCGAATCATCCAAGTGACAATCGCACAGGCGTGCACCGTCTATCTGACTTATATAATTGTTCGTCCGTTAATAATAATAATAATAGAAAAAACAAATATAAAAAGCAACAGAGAGTAAGAATATTAAAATTGTTTTTATTATATTTTAAAATTGATATTCTTAAAATGTACTTTGTCAGACAGCTTTTTATTTTTGGTTTTGCTCGCGTTCTCGTGATACATTTCTTGTCGACTAATGCTCTTGTAATCTTTAACGAAATCGATAATATCATTTTTCTAAAATTATGTCCAGGTACCTACCTACCTATTTTATATATTACTCGAGCGTTGTTTATGTATAATGCCTATTTTTTCTGTGTCGTATCAGAGGCTCAAGTTTATTTGCTATCAGACTTACAACAACATAATATTATACAAATATTTATTGTACTGTTAATATTTTATTAGACCCTATCTTTGTAAACTGTTGTGATAAAATATCATTAAAATCACTTAAATTGACACGTTTGATAACATTATATCACTAAGTTTCTGCAGTAGGTACACGAAAAACACATTAACCCGCCACTATCCAGAACCTTAATCTTACCTTACTCTCCTTACTCATTATTAAACACGAATTATATTTTGTCGGACGAGACAATTTGATTCAAATACTGCGTGGGTTTGATTCTCATCTATATATAGTTTTAGTTTCTTCAAACCGTTTCCGTAGCACGTTCTGGTCGATTATATTTTTTATTTCAGTTCTTGACGCTTTTATTCGCGAACCAGAACATATTACATTGTGCTAAGATTTGCTTGCACTTATGATAATGTACATAGATACACACAAAATCAAATCCAACATTATGAGTACAATTATTATATTATATTAAATCCCATATTATTCACGATTTCTGTTGCTACTTCGGGTGTTATCTCCGATTTGAAAACAACCAGAGTTTTCCATCCATTGTGATTGATATAAATTATTATTCGTGTTTATATTAAAATATATGTTTCCCTAGAGTAAAGTCGTTTGTTTATTCTGACATATATGTAGGTACTTAACCGTATGCGAGTGATTTTTAAAATACTGCACTGCTCTTTTTCACTGTATTTATTTTTTTTGTAGTCTCTACCTATAGGTATCTTAAATCAAATAAGTTTATTGACATAACCAATATTTGTTTAAAAAATTATATAACCCAAGATATAAGTAAGAATATTTTTTTTTGTTATTGAACCATACACTTCAGAACGTCGTTTTGATATTGCATTTAACTTTTGACTTTTTATTAATATTATTAGAGTTAATATAAACTTGAAGAAATTAAATTCCATGCTTATTTTTTAGTAAATAATATTTCATTAAACAATTCGAAGGATAATTATCTTATTAATTTTACGGTATATATTTCGTTTACTTTTTATATCCATATAACTGACTTCAAAGCAAGCTTTATTACCTTTAAGTATATTCATATATACAATTTTCGCTGTATATTTAATATAAATTTGATGATTTTAAAATTAGATATTAAATAATATTAGTATCTAATACATAAAAGTGTATATTATGACATTTAAAAGTTCTACTGAAATGTCAATACAGAAAAAAGAAGTTAATATTAATAAATTTATGTTTTTTATATTCCATAGCCATTCTGTTTAAAATCAATTGATTCAAACCTTTTTAAATCATTGTGTTCCTATAAAGTAAAATGTATACTTATATTTTGTATTTATTTATTTTTGTAATTCAAGTATTTTACGAGGTAGGATTCGAATTATTCTCGTGAGTCGAGTCAAATATTTTTCAATACCCTATTGTGTTTCTCTTGCCCTGTTCATTTTGAACTATACCTATTTTATTTATGAGTATCCACCTATATTAATATCTTTTTGAAATGCATATTGCATATGTATAACTTTCAGAACATCATAATTATATATTTTGCAAACATATATCAATCGCGTGTCAATAGGCAGGCAGTAGTTATATTTTTCACTTATTTTATTTAAGGGGACCGCAGGTATCGGTTTTTAACATTTTCCGCAATTCCAAATAATTATATTTTTGCCACCCTAGTTATAATACTTGTCCACTAATTTACTGCCCAAAATCTATTTGGGGGAGGGGAGAGGGTATATTACGGTGTATTATATTGAAAAAATAACTTCACTGGAATAATTCTCAGGCCTTGTAGAATTGTCAGATTTTGATAATTGTTTTTTTTATTAGAAAGAAGAATATTTTCCTACGGGGCGCATTAGACTTTGTTTTTTGATATCATTGCCAAAAACAAAAATGATACAAAAATTAAAACATTGTAAAAATTTGTAAAATTATTATAATTTTATAATGTTTTTCCTGTAAATCTTGTGATAATAACTAACAATACCTACTATAATAGTAAATGAAAAATCGGATTATCATAAATTATTTATAACTAATTGAATCAAAGAAAAGTCTCTTAAACGATTGAATACAATTATGGAATTGCACACTGTGAATAAACTCAGTGACTAATGAAAAATCATTAGAATTAGCTATTTAATAAACGAACTGTGGTAACGGATTACTATGGTATATATACCTATTTATGTAAGAGAAAGAGAGAGAGAGAGAGAGAGAGTTAAACGTTAGACCGGGGTAAATGAGTGATCATGGTTTTGTCGAATCGTCGTAGGTCGGTCGTGTTATCAATGAAATGAACGTGTCTAACGACCGCCATTATATACCTGTGATATTGGAGAATGTATTTTATGTTGTTATTGTTTTGATATAATATGGCGAGCAATCGTATATAATCTCTCGGTTCGTTTTGGATCGTTCGAAAACATTTTACTGCATCGAGCCAAAACATAAACCAGCGATAAGGCATTATTATGGAAACGACGTTTCGCAAATACCGCGTTACGATCAGCGAAGGTACGAGTATTTACTACTTAGGTCTTAGGTATATACATATTCGGTTGTTTTCACATCGAAATCTTCTTTATTTCTTTGTATATCTTTGCACAAAGGTCATCGAGTGCTTGGCGGGCGCGGAAAACCGACCGCCGTATAATGTACAATATATACGGAATCGAAATTCAAATCGCACACGTTTTTTCCGTAAGTATATAAAATATACGCGTCGTGCGCAATTTAAATATCATATAATGACTACGTGTACTAGCGAAATCGTTTTACCTCAACAATATTATATAATTTGGTGAATAACAGTAGACAATACATTCTGAACACCGTGGTTACAGTGGAATACCCTAGTATAGTTATCTTCAGTACAGTGTGGTATAAGAGTAATCCTCCCGATGAGCTCCACTCACTGCAAGTCACCAAGTGGTGTGAGTTGGTTTCCTCTTTCGCACTTCACTCGCACAACTATTTACAGACTTCCGGGACGGTATAGGGTTACACACATATTAACAATATGTGATTTTTATCACTGGGTGCATTTCCGAAGTATACTGCTGTGCAGGGTTTATGCGCCTCGTCGTCAGACGATTGCCCAGCGAGCGGTTATCGCAGCGAGGAATAAAATAATGACGGTATCGCCGATACACTGTTGTAATATATATATAGGTAAAAGCTCAATCGGGATTACTTGAACACGGTTTGTGATTTATGTCACACATTTTTGACGAATGGCGATTCGAAATGGTGTTTATGAATCGGTTTTAGCTGTCCACGACGTTATTAAATGACGTTAACAATTACTGTCCGAATTTACGATTAATTTGTTTTATTACAAAAAAGTACACAATCGTTGTCGCAGTGAATTATATTTTAATCGAGAATTTTATCGATGTATCTGGTCAGCAGAAGCTCGAAAATGCCGAGCAACGTATGTGCCCACGGAATTTCCGAATTTTCGCAGAAATTGTTGTTCGTAGTGCTGTCTCGTGCAGCTTTCGCTTGTTTTGCCGCCAAAATGTTGACGACGAGCTCGACGGCCGTGTGTGTCGAGGCGTATAATGTTTATGATGTATTGTTTATTAAACAATATCATGACAAATGCAATTAGACGTTTATTAATATTATTATACACATCAAATCGGTAAACTCGTGTATACCCGATGCAGTGTGCACGTGGGGCTGCACCTGCACAATGTCCCCGGGACTCCACTCCCTCCACCGACTCTACCCCGTTTAATGTGATTAATTATTCGCATCAAATTACATCATCGTGTTGGTGACAACCGCGAGGGCGTAAATTAATTAAAAGTTATATTAATCTACTATCATCGCCGTGGCGACAACCCGTAGTTGTTATTATTCCATACGACTTAAGAATTATACATTATTATAATATTTACCGTAATTCAGTGTTCTGCTCTGTACACTATATTCTGCTGCAAAATATAACGTCGTAACAACGATGTTTTTGATTTTCCGTTCAAGCACGTGTTGGGTAGATTTTAACCATTTATTCTCTCGTCCGCTTCCTCCTCCTTATTATAATGTTAACATTTTTTCTCTGCAAAAAAAATCAAACACATTGTTATTAATATTGTGTGTGGGTAGCTTACTCAGGTCTTGCTCTCATTTTTGTTGACTATAATCTAAAATCAAATATAATATAATAAGCAATACCTAATAATGATTTACGTTGGATTATATTTTAATTTATATAGTAAATCGTGCTTAAAATGTAACAATTATTTTTGGAAATACTGTGTAGGTATAATAGATTTAAACTATGTTATTACAGCAATCGTCGTGAAATTTAAAATTCCCATTCCATGTTGTAACGAATCGCATTAGAATTTTAGTAAAATATTAGAGTTTGAACCCTGTATTGCAGAAAGTTTATTGAATAGTTGTCGAAGTTACACGAATAATAATTATGAAAAATGATATTATAATAGGTGACATCTTCAATAAATATTTTCAACCATCTCAACAATTTAAAAAAAAAAGAAAAATTATAATAGCTGAAATATTTTTTATTGTTTCCTACATCGTTAATTGCAGATTTTATATTCACTTGAATTATTCTAATTAATTATTAATTACACATTTTTTAAAGACCTGATCATTAATGTTGGTATATTTATTTTTTAAGATAATTCATACTTTTATTTTTCTTAAACTTTGTTGACTCGATAAGACCATTGTCGTGGTTATACATCCGGAAACAAGGAACGGTGCGGGTGGTAATCATCTAGTATTTCCATTTCACAACGCCCATGCGTAAAATTAAAATACAATTATAAAGTTTATCAGTATTTAATTTTAAAAATATTTTCACAGTGACTAGATAAAATATATTTTGCAATAATTATGAAAAATAAGTTTTGTTCATTTTGTCCTAAAGTCCGGGATAATTAATTTTATTATTGTCGATCGGTCGGAGGGTAAAAGTAACATTCTTTTTAAATACAATCCCAAAATTTGTGTCGGTTTTTAAAAAAAAATATTTTCCGTACAATATCGTTAGAAATTCGTCCGGCTTGTGACGGAATGTAGTCGATTTTTAAAAATAACATAGCCTAATCATGTCCATAGAGAGATTCAGATTACACGATTTCTGCAGCAGCGCCGCTAATATTTCTATACATAAGGTAACTATTGTGGTGGTTTGAGGGAGCAGTAAAGAGGATCGCACGGGTTCTTCGAGGGTGATTTGGACGCATTAAATAGTCATTTTATACAGTGTCCAGATTCACCTATATAGGACACTGTGGTTTCGATTAAACTTTGAAGTAGGTACATTGTCGTGGTGTTCTGAAACTACACAATGTATTAAATAACAGTGACTCGTTTGTGTTTAAAGTTAAAACTGATGGTCAATCGTATGCTGAATTTGAAAAATGAGGAACTTTGAATGATTCTAAACGTTTGGCTCCCCCGAAATCGGCCAAGGTTTCAGTCTTACATCACGTTCGTTTTCCGGCATAAGTTTTTGGTTTTTCACTTTCGATTTTCTCAAAAAAAAACAAAACATCTACGAAAAGAATGCGTTCAATTTTCAACTCTCAGAGGTGTGGCTACGTGAAAGTTTTCCTGCTGTTTTTACTGCAGAAAAAGTGTTTTCGTCAAAATAGAAAATTGAGCATCTGCCACTGTGAAGCCAATAATCACGTTCCGTTATAAGAATCTGAAATCTAATAAACGCATAAAACCCTACGAAATGTACACTAAAAAAAAAAAAATTTGAGAGCAATTAGGTTTGTCTTTAAAACGTATTACGCTTTGGCCGACTGAACAACATTTATTGAGATATCTCTGTAATACAATAAATGTTTCGGTAATCCTTTCGGTGCTGACTATAATATGTTTTTTAATTATTATACACAGCTCGTGTAGTCGTGTTTCCATCATCACCACGAAATATTATTTATGTCTATTAAAAATAGATGTTGTGGAAATTCGACTGCACCTTATTCATACTCGAAATCTGTTATACCGTAGCCGTTGGTATATTTTTTGATTTTTAGCAAAAAACGAATTGAAACGCTTGAATATAGTCACTATGTATATTGAGTTTTATTTGGTAGTATAATATTTTATATTCGACAGGCCATAACTATCGCCTGTACAGTCTTAACTATTTTCACGACAAACGTTTAGCAATCGTATAAAATTAACAATAGGCCGTTGTTTTGATTATACATTACACCAACACGGTCGCACAGGGTAATGAAAAATCGCAACGATTAAAGTTAACGGTATAAATTATAAAACAATAACTGCAGTGGTAGTTATAATATAGGTATTATACGGTGTAATGTGCTTTATTATTACTTACATAGGTATTTAAAATGTGTTTATTTCTTCCTTTTTTTGTTGTTGTTTTACAGTGCGCGCATAGAAAACGAAATTACAATATTATGTTTCATAGTGTTCATTAATCTTCGTTAGGTTTTTTTGTCGTGTGTGCCATCGCGTCACATTCGATACTGTTCTCTATTTTTATATTCTCGAAACGATGATTTTCGCTATTTTGGCCTAGACCCCAGCTATACAGTAACGCCCTCCACTGCAGGACTGATATATTATTTTAAAACATTATCCACCCGCGACTGATGCTAGCTCGTAACAATATACGTATTATGGTGGCTATTGTTCACGCCAGACAGTTACAAATTCGGAGAACGCCCGAAATCCGCGGCGGAATACATTGTCGACATTGTATTACGTATCATAACCACTGTTAATAACTGCATACATGGTCATTGGTATAATATCAAAATGGACTCAAGCTTTACGTGTTCAGCTCATCTACATCGCGGTTTTATTGTATAGTATAGTGTGGTGCAATAAAAATTACTATTACCATCGATTAAAAAAATACTCCATAAGTACAATCATATAATGTTGTATACTTAGAAAGTTAAGAGATGCCATTACTAATGAGTAATGACAAATTATAGGTAGCTAGTGTGTGTCAATATGGTCGCTCGACAATTATTATTCTTGTTTTGTTAGCATGGCAAACGAAAGTCCCATTTGGAGTCCCCGCGGCTGCTACGACGAGCCCCAAAATTTCCAAACTGAAAGCGGACTGTTCGTCCGTGCTCAGGCTGCTAACTTCGACTTTATACGAGTTAAAAATATTGTTATTATCTTCGGCGATGTGTGCAGGGGGAGAGGGGGGGGGGTGCGAATGGCTTTGCACGGCTCTTTTTATTGCGACGCGAAGTGACGTGTCATCTGGTTTCAGTTTATAATGAAAATCAAATTTTAATTAAAAAACATGATGTTTTGTCGAAAATTTTGCTTTGTCGTGCCGAAGGTACGGTTAACTTTCTATCAGGTTACTCGAAAATAAAACTTCGTTTTTAGTCTTTCTTTCTGTCGTTACGTATAATTATATGTTATTTGCACAATGAATTTGTCCGCTCAATTTAAAAACGAGTGAATTGCGAACACATATTTTATACATCTACATAATAACAGTATACGTTTACACAGAAGTTCGACATTACATAATTGGGTCATCATTGTTACGTTCACCGCTACGACAACTCCTATAATATAATAACTTTGTGGGTCTCCCGAGAGGTATTCCTACAGAGATGTAAATTACTAGTATAATAAGTTTATCTTCGGCTTGGTGTGGCTCGGTGGTACGCTCAATCTGCGTCAACGCTCCGAGCGTAGGTACCGGCCGTCGTCGTTAGCACTCGGATGGGTGACCACCCGTATTTTTAGCAACAAATCCTATTGCCACACACACAAAACGTGTTTCAACCAACCGTTCCCCCACGCAGTACCAGGATAACGGCCTTAGTGTTTGAATAAAATAAGTTGATTGTGTGGCATTTTAAAATTGTATACATTCAGAATGGTTTAAGTTTATAAGTTTTTGTCCATTTCCGTATTTGATGACGTGATTTTCTATAATGTTTTTTATACAATTAAAACACGGTTATCGTCATTCGGTATATTTTATACTTACAGGACTTTTTAATGGATATAATATCAAAATGCACTTCCTGCTAGTGCCCTGCCGTCTTCTTAAACATATGTTATAAACAAGAAACGTAATGAACATATTTTCAACTCGAGCAATAGAAGATTGAGAATTATTGATGTATATAAGCTATTCTGATAAACTCAAATTAAATATGGTTATAAAAAGTGTTGTTTTTTATTTAAGTCTATTGGGTCTATCCACTGATCACTTCGTTTACCCATTGGTTCAACATTGCCGTCGAACTATGCCTACCACCCGATGGGCTTCGCCCCCATTACCCGAGGATCGGCTTCCCTCTGTATCTTGAAAAAATCTGTAATTTAAGATGTATAAAGATAAAATGTACAAAACTTTTTTTTAGATAGTAGAGACTTTTAAGTGTTTAATTAATAAAAATTATTTGTTCTATACTTTTGGGTTACCATGGCAGTTATATTACGTAGAAAATAAAATGCTCAAAACTTTTTTTTATGCACGAGTTTAATAGAGATATATAATATTAACAACAATTATTGTATCTCCACCATAATGAAAAAAAAGAATGATTGTAAAACTCATAATCTTATATTTTATGGATGATGAAACGAAAAAGAACTTTAATTAGGTTGACAATTATTAGAGAAAATACCATTTATTCCATTATAGTCTTAGAATTTCGTATGCCCTAAATATATTGCTAAATATCTTATCCTATCTTATTTTTGAGTCCCATCACATAATGTGTGGTTCATCACGAGGCGATTTGGTCAGTTTTATATTTATTAGTTTATTCCTGTTAGCGTTTTTGTTATCGTTTATTCCGATCGCGTTTTAGTGCTTATATTTCAATGTAGTAAACGATTTTATAATAATTATAAAGTCTACACGTCGTGTTTAATGTTGATACAGATTGTAGTGCAATATTTTAATCCTCTTGTCGTTAAACAGTAATGTATTTTGCTTTCCGCATGGCCCCCACTAAATTGTTATCCAACACAATATCGTCCTTCACTTTGTTATTAGAAAAATACTTTACGGTTTTAGACCGATTTTGGTCTTTGTTATATACTTTTTAT